ACTTTCTGGGAAAGAAAGGCACTTGTGTGACTTTCAGAACAGGACTAGCATGCAAACCTCTACCGTGCAATGCAGGAAAACATTAGAGAAGTGACAAAACAACATTCAAACACCTCCTCAGCCTAGCCACCGTCAGCTCTTCAGGAGAACACGTGGCCCAGCCCAAAGAAGCAAATGCTTCAGGAGATGTGGCAGATAGGTTTGCATAGCACCTTGCACACGCTACCACAAGGCAAGGAGTAAGAAGAAAGACCAAAGCTGCTCCAGGCTGCTAAGCCAGGGCTTGAAATGCTCCAGCCCTTCCCCCAGTAGCCGGTGCTCACACGGGTCATGAGAAACCGTCAATTGTTTGCTGGAAGACTCGCGTCCTCCCCAGGGGAAGGAGGAAAAACAAGCTCTCCACCTCGTGAGGGGCTGGCCAAGAACAACATGGTGTAGCAGAGATCACGGCAGCAGAGGCTACGCAGCGATGCTGTCGGCGCTCCCTCACGCCCAGACTTCAGTCTCTGCAAGCAGCAAATAGCAAAGGCACAATGAGAAGGTGCAGAAGTGAGACACAACAGCCTCACCTGGGCCTTTAATCAAAGGAGAAAGCATACCTCTAGGGGGAAAAAAAAAGTGAGAACACAGGAAACTGCCATCTTAACATGCTGACAGCGCTGCTGCTTACACAAGCAGCCCGGCCCAGAAGAAAAAGAAGAAGAGCTGAAGACACCTTCCCTTCCCATTTGTCCCAGCTGGACAAGTCTTGCAGTTGAACTCCCTCCCACCCTGCAGAAGCAGATCACTGCTGTGACCACTTTGTCCACGTACCCTTCACAGTCTCACTGCAGCGTACACCTTGCAAAGTCACCTCACGCTCTTCTGGGAGCCGTCTCACTAATTCCCCATCCATCAATTTCAAACCACACAACTTTTTAAGTGAGCTTTCTTCCTCTACAAGCTGGCCATGCAGACACACTGAAATCACAGGCAGGGTGAGCAGCTTTTCTGCTTTGTGCCCTGTGTTATATATAGCTTTACTGCTGTGTTCATTTTCCACATAACATCAAGCACTTCCCTGAGTACTGTTCAATAACAAATTGTTGTGGGGGGGGGGGGGAATGAGTATCAAGGCCATGAGCTCCTTATCCTGGCAATCAGAAGCCTGCTGTCATGTAAGAGACTAAAGTCCAACAACTATGATGTCTTCCTTCAGATGTAAGTTACTTGAGGCTGCTCCCTATACTCTCTGTTCCAGGGGTTCCCAGCTGTCAGAATACCTGTCACAGCACCGATTTTATATCCCAAAGCAAGAGCAGACAACTCTTGCTACACAGAACATTCCTTGACGTAATAAAATTTTCAGCATTCAGCTGCCTCTAAACACCGTGCTTCACCCTGCTTCCTGCAGATGCAATTAGAGAATACTTTCCAGACAGATACAAATATCAAGTATTTAATCTTTGGGCAACAAAACAAAAACCTTTAAAACAGGGAAAAGACTGCTGGAAAGGGCTTTTGGGTCACAGGAACAAATCAGTTTTGTGCACTACCAACTTGTTTGAAACAATCAAGCCAAAATAAAAACACGTTAAAGCCAAAAGCTCACATTCACACATGCTCAGCAAGCACCTGAACCTGTTAGCACTGAAGAAGAGCTTCAACTCCAGCCATAGGCTTCAGCACAGGTTTTCACAATGAAGACTCCTGTTCAATCTCTAGATCAAGAGCACAGAGCTTCTTGCAATACCAGGGAAATCTGGTAAATGTGTGCCTACCCCACAGAATGAGATAGCAAGGCCCTACGCCTTTGCCTTGGACATTCAAATTCACAAAGGAGACAGCCCCAAGACTTCCAGCTGTTGCACAGACTGCTGTAAAGACAAGTACGCAGAAATAGCTCTAAGAAAATACATAAGATGACATTCCAGATAAGAACAGAAATCCACACATACCATGTATGAGGTTTACTATAAAGGAAAAAAAATATTGCTTCTTTGCTCCCCAAAAGGGAGAGAAACAGGAAACGCTGTGGCAGAACAAGTGCTGGTCCTCACTTCCAAACAAGGGCTGAGGCACAATTTGAGCCACATAGGACATTTCCTCTTGCATTCAGCACATTTTATTTTCCTTTGCTCCAAGTCTGCTGCAATAGGTGATAACAGAACTTGAGAGGCTGTGTTCTGCCCAGTCTTTCACAATCTTCTTTCAAAGAAGGCTTCATTTCCAAGATGTGTGCAAACAAGGTCAGCAAAAGCCTGGTCATTCAAGTCAGTAGTTTCAACTGCAAACAGTGGAATCCCTTATCCCATCAATATTTGAGGATCACTATTTTCTGCAGGTTAAATCCTTTCTCTGTAATCCCCACCTGTGACGTGCCTAAAATAGCAGAATTAACCCAACAACAATTTTTCAGCTCACTGACCACAGTGAAGACAGGTTTTGTTCAGTCATCCAGAGAAGCTGTTTTACAATGCAAAAAAACTAAAACACAAGACCTTCAATTATATTTAATTACATAGTGGCTGTTTCAAAATGAAGTTGTGTGAACCTACAATACAACATGTTTTCTCCTCCCTCCTTTTCCTGAGGTAAGATTTGCTAGGCTAAAATCAGATTTCAGTTATTTTGGGGGGATCCAGACTATAAAACTCTAAAACCCCCACAAAACAAACCTCGATCTGCTTTACTCTGAAGATCTCCCACACCGCTTTAAACCTTTCCTTGACTGGATGCTTTTGGCTGAGCATGAGCCAAAGGACAAAGGACAAGGACACTGCTCCTGCCCGAGCAGCGCTGGGGCTGGAAGGCTGCAGCAGTACCCTCCAGCAACACAACATTACTACAGCTCCAGAAGAGCCCTACATTTTCTGTTTGTGTAATACCAGGTAGAAAGACACTTCCTTTGGAGGTATCAAGAGCCACCTGGAAGAGAACTGTTCCTCAATTCCTTCAGCTGCTGTTCCCACAGCTGAATTCTCCAATATTTATGCCAAAATAAAGAAACCTCTTGTTTGTGCATTTGATTCATTGCAGGTACAATGGAAAAGCTTAACAAAGGGACTCAACAACCATAGTACATTCACAGATTTTGTGAACTGGACTGTTAGTAGCCTTGAAAATATACCATGGATGCCAGAGTACAGGAGTACAGAGGCCTCTTCTACCAGAAATGGGACGTTTTGACCCAGGAAGCCACAGTGCAAAGCAGCATGGCACAAAAAGCCCACAAGTAAAAACATTCTTGAATCACATGTGAGCTGGGCATAAGAGTCTCCTTTGTCTCATGTCTGAAGCTCACATATTTCACCATACCCCACCCAAGTGGATTTTTTTTTTTTTTTCAAAGTCTCAGAGCACAGATCAGACAAAGAACACCAGCTTTCAATGACTTGGGCTTAGTTCTAGACCTTACCCTTTAGCAAGGCCTTGCCAACCCATGAGTGAGACCATCAACAACAACAAAAAACTAGCATGCAACTTATTTTTCAACAGATGCATTTCCAATCTTTTGGGAAACTATTCCTAAAAATTGCTGTTTCAGTGGCACTATGATTTTGAACATGAAAGTCTTTTAAGGATAGAGAACATCACCTTTTTTGTTCCCCCAAGAAAAGAGCTAAAAGAACATCGTACCCTAGAAGTACTTTCTTGCAGCGTCATTAGCCAGAGGATACAGAACACCATTTGAAGAACACACATTCTGTATTTGTTTAAAAAACACACAAAAGCTGTGAAATAGTTTCCTCCCACCCAGCTCACTCCTACTTCATACCAGGGAACAGACCCAAACTCCCACCTGACCTCTTCTTTCCCTGTCAAGCAGATGGCAGTACTATCTCAAACACCATCCCCACCTCAGTATTTGAAGTCTCACACATTTATTGTTTGCTCAGGAAGTCATGTGCCTAGCTCACTGATGGAGATAGCTGGAAAGGAAATCAGCACCCCACTGAGCATTTATGAAAAATATATACCCTGTATTTCCATCCTCAAAGAGCTGGTTTCCTTGCAATTTATCCAAAGCTCCAGGTCACAAGTTTCATGCCCCCTTGGAGAAGGAGGAGAAAAAAAAAAAAAAGCAGTACTGGAAAAATCTGATCCTGCCAGCTATCTTAAAATAGCCTCACCACCACCACCTTTGAAGGCCTACCAAGGAAAGGGAAAAACCAACACGAGTAACTTATCTTACCTTTAAATTATGATTTTTTAATTATTATTGTTACCACTCAGAAAGGCTCCAAATGGAACCGCCTTCAGTACAAACTGAGTACAGGAGGTGAAGTTCGCCATGTACTTCACAGCCTGCTGCAGACACTTTGAAAGCGTAAGATTTCTCGTTTGTTGCACACAGGGAAAAAGGCCAGCGGTAGGCAGGCAGGTACAACACCACGGGGCTTGCTCCCTGCATCGCTCCGAGCCGCCTCCAGCCCAACTTAAACCTCTCCCTACAGAGGCAGGGGAACGCAGAAGACCCGTGAGTCCCCTAAAAAGATGAGGTTGGCACACAGAGAGGGCACAGCGTGGCAGCTCGTCGGCAGCGCTCTGGAGCAGGAACACCCCGGAGCAGGAGCCCGAGGCGGCCCCCCGAGGAGCTCGGTGTCCGGGGGCCGGCCCGTGCAGCGGGGCTCGCCGCCCACCATCTTGGGCGCGCCGCGGGCCTCACCTGCAGCGCCGCGGGGAGCCGCCCGGCAGCCGCTCGCCCGGCGGGCGGCCCAAGGCCAAGGGGAAAGCCGGGCGGGCCCGGATCCGGACCCGGCCCTGCGATCCCCAGCGACACCTCGCCGCGGAAACAACTTCACGCCGGCTCCCCGAGGAAGCCTGCCGCCTCCTCCTCCCTCCCGAGCCCCCGCCGCGGCGCCTGGAGCACGCCCGAAATGGCTGCCCGCTGCCGGGGGGCTGCCAGCCCCTCGTCCCCACTCGCGCTCCGAAACGCCGCGGTTTTAATGGGAAAAGGGGATCAGGGAGAGAGCAGATGTGCAGCCCGCACGCCGCCCCGGCCGGGGGTCGGGACTCACCCGGGGCAGCAGCCTGCTCGCCAAGTTTCGCCAAGTTGGGAGGAGGGCGAGGCGGCGGCCGGCGAGCTCCGGGGTGCCGCGGCTAATCCATGGGCACGGCGCGGAGCCGCCTGCAGATGCTGCCCAGACACCGCCACGGAGCCGCTCGGCGGAGCCCCCCAGCCGCCCCTCTCGCCGCCGGTTCCCGGTGACCGAGGCGGCGCGGAAATGCGCTGCCAGGCCACGCCTGCTCCTCGCACACGCAGCCGCCCTCCACACAAAGGAAGCCGGCCCCTCCGCCTGCGGGCCCGCCGCTGTCCCGGGCTCCCACCGGCCTCCAGGTGGATCCGTGCCCTCTCCCCAGGCCGCCGGGGGAGCCCCGGTTCAGGCGCCCGCTGCGACAACCCCCGAGGCCGGGCGGGGGCTGCGAGCGGCGCGGCTCCGCCCCGCCCTAGCGGCCGCCCCTCAGAGCCCCGCTGGAGGAAGCGCGGCGCTGTCAGCTTCATAATAACAAATATCATTATTTTAGACGTTTTTTTAACCGAGATGGCCGCGGGGCCGCCCTGCGGAAGAGGTTCAAGAAACCGTGAGCTCGGTGGCGGGCCGGGGCAGGTCGCTGCAAGGGGCGGCCTCGCTTCCACCACGCTCCCCTCAGGCTTTCGTAACCACAGCGAGCGTGAAGCAATTTCAGGGCAGAACCCTAGAAGCACAACCCGAGCGCTACCTAGAAAACCAGAAGTTGAAGGAAAAATAAACAAATAAAGCTACCCCAAAGAGTATTTTGAGTCCTCAAGCGTCCCGGGGTTTTTAAGCTTCTCTGATGAGGCCCCAGGAAGGCAGACGTGAGGGGAAGGAGTGGCTGACTCATGGTTTTTAAACCCCTGTGGTGAGCAAGCGAGAGCTCTCACCTGAGGCGGTTGCCACCTGGAAGGTGGGGAAATATCCTGCCTCCTCCATCGGCTGCCTGCCCCCCCGGGCCAGATCTGGCCGGCCACAGGTCAGCCCTCCAAATCGATCCTCGTGTGGAGCAGTCCCTGGGCATTGCTGTTACCTGATGGTTACCTCAGCTTTTCTTGTCCCCATCTGCATTTTGCATCTTGGCCTCCCTGCCCTCCCAAATAATGGGAGAAAGTCAGTCCTGGCCTCCTGCGTAGATCAAAGGCAGTAAGGCCTGCTTTGTAAAAGGGTTTTGGGACGCAGGCTGCATGTGATGGAGGGCATACACTGAATAAGAGCCACAATGCCCAGGACACAGACAGAAAACCTAGGCTTTCCTCTGGGGCAGCTCTTTGTACCACAGTTTCTAGCTTAGATGCTAACTTCCATACACTTCTCCTCCGTGCCTTAAGAATTCCTTAACAGAAGGAAAAGTCACCTTCGTTCTCGTCCTCCCAGATAGAGCAAAACTATTTTCCTCAGTGCTTCACAAACTATGAAGATACATTGGCGTGCAGTAAGGCGAGGCTAAGGGGGGTAGCTCAGTGCCAGAGGCACTAATACAGGCTTTCTCGTATTCTCTACACTTCTTCATCTGCCTCAGGACTTGGAGTTCAAGACTTAATTATTCCCCTGGATCAGCAACAAGTGCTCCTCACAGAGATGACAGCAATCTCACCAAGTGTTCAGCTAAACACCAAAGGAAGATTTGAGTGAATAAATGGAGTGAGTTTGGTTCTTCTCATCTATGCAAGGCCAAGGCCAAGAACCAAAACCATGCTAGAGTTAAAAAGCTGTAGATGCACAGCTCCTGTCACACACACACCTGTCTGAAACCTAAGTGCAGGTGCACCTCTGGTGGCATCGCCAAGATTCCTTCTCATCCTCTACATGCAGTTATTCAAAGAAATGTAAATACAAAGGTTTTGATTGTGTCTTCAAAACTTAGATTCTCACAAAGGCAAGAGATTGCATTTGTGAATGTCTTTGATGCAGGCATTGTGAATGCTGGCTTATGCCAAAGGCATGGAAGGCTGAACCCTTCCAGGGCCACAGCCGGGCTCAGCTATCCTCTGTCCCTCAGGTAGATACCATTTCAGGGATCCCATCTGGGACTGGAGAAAGGCATCTTTAATTCTACAGATGGCATTTAAAGATTGTTGCATGATAGCAGCTTCACTATAGTCTCTACTGCTTGCAGGCTTCCCCAAGCTTGCTCAAGGATTTTAGAAATCAAAGTAAAAAGGAATTGGACAGATAAAGCTGAGAGAAAATGCTAGAAGAATTACCTGAATGTTAGGGATGATCTAGGTGAAGAAGAGGAACTAGAAAGGGTCATTGGATTATCAGGTAATGAAAAGAGGTAGAAGAGATCCTTTCCTCACCTCAGAAGCTGTTCCAGTCACCTTGCAGAGCACTGAGCCAGATCTCTGGTGACATCCAGAGCCAAGGCAGACAGCTCCAGTATGCTGCCAGCATAAGAGATGAGAAGACAGAGGGAGCAATAGTAACTGCTAAGGTTCAATGGGGGGGACAGCTTTAGGGTATACAGACTGTGGAATAAGGAAGGGGATCCCTGTCTGTAGAATAAGGATCTCCTGCAATTTAAAATAGTCCTGCAAAACGGCCAGTGGTAGCAGTTCACAGTGTAGCTGAATTGACTGTGTTGACTGTAAACGTGGATATAGTTCAAACGACCTCTCTATGTGCAATTTATTTGCCTTTGACATTATCTCTGTTCTGTGCATTTCACTGTGTTGCCAAGAAAATCAGGGTAAAAAAATCTTATCCTTCACAGATGCATTCACTAAGTGCAAGGGCAAATTGGAAGACTTTATAAGGTAGTCACTTCACCAGTAAGAAATTGTAATAGCATTGCAGGAATGAAAATGGAAAAAAATCTGATTTTTTACTGAACTCGTGCAGGCTCCTATTCATGCATAACTTGTCATTGCAGTTTCCTCTGGCCACTACAAACATTTCTTGAAATTAATGAATGATGCATTATGAGGAGTAGCTGGTAGAAAATGACAAGACTGGAGCTATTCAGCAATTCTGTACGTATTCCATTGTATACGATCAGCTTTTTCATTACCATCAAGCACAATTTTTTTAGTGGAAGAAATTTCTATTTATGCAGGAAGGTTTCTCAGAATCAGAGTTAAATTTGGAATTAGTGTGTGGTTTTAATAATTACAAGGTTCAGAGGAGGCTGTGGGGATAAAAAAAAGCCTGCAGAAGCTACTGTGAGACTTTAAACAGCTGCACATACTGAGAAATCAATAGCTGGACCTAAAAGAGAAAGTCGAAATATTCTGGGAAAAAACTTTATAAAATGTACGAGATCCGTTAGAAACAGGAAAAATTTGCATGAATTTATTCAGATATCAAATAAAATTAGGGTGGGTTAGACTGAACCGGTGATTTAACGTCATCCGTCATTTCTCCACAGCGTTCTCCGTCTTCCCTGCGCCCTCAGCTGCTACCAAGTGGTTATTGCACCTGTCCACTCCAGCTCCTCCAAATAAGCCACTCGCTCACTGGCAGCATCTGAAGTTAATACTGCTGAAGCATAAAACGTTGGTGAGGATTACAGTGAGTCTGCTAATAATTTATTCTCTCCACACTCATTTAGAAACATTTATATGCCTCAAACTCTACCATTCATCACCGAATAGCTTTTCTTTAACATTTTTAAAAGGTTAAAAGGTTCACACAAGTGAAAAGATTGCAGGAATAGATGTCTTTTCTAACAGCTTTCTTCAAGCCTAATCGGGACCTACAGTGTCCAGTTTCTGGCGTCTTTATTATGCAAATCTTTTACTGCGGAAAAAAAATCGGGTTTATTGCTGACCTTCGTTTTGGCTAGGGAAGTAGTGACATCCAGTGGCTTAGAGATAAAAAGAGCTTTTCTCATTCTTTTATTTCTGTCAAAGTGCATCACAGGAAACACATCAGAAGATGGCAGGGATCCCTTGGCATTCCCTTCTCACTGTGGATACTTGCAAATGACACCAATTACAGGCAGTTTGACAGCCGTGGGAATGGATAGCCCACACAGGGAAACAGAAATGCAGAACAGGAAACAAACAGAAAACACCCTCTGAGACCATCGTTCTCATGGATTTAAAAGGACACTGCAGACAGGAAACATAATCGGCATTTTTTAAAGTTCAAGTATAAAGCACCTTCCTATATTAGACCTACCCCCCACCTTACAGCATTTTCCCACCATAATGTTTTTCTTCTAACATAGTTTCTGTCCCAAACAAAAGGATGAATGGCAGGCTTTCAAAGAAATGAACAAGGGGAAAATGACTGAAGAAAAATGACTATATTGGAGTTTTATTGCTCGTGCCCAGGATAAACAATTTTTCAATTGGTGTTTCCACCATCAGAGTTTCCAGTAACCAACTAGGTATTCAACCTAGATGTTATATTTGACGCACTGACAAGTGACTTATTTGGTCTACATGTGTTAAATGAAGAAAAAATCAAAACATTATATATGTATAGGGAACTGAGCCAGCAGAGGTAGCTGTTGGCACAACAAAATCAACAGCCATTAAAATATTTTTCCATTGAGCATTCTACGTTTAAAGAAGAAAATGTTTTCTTAAACCAGATATTCAGACCTTGCACAGTCTCCATCACTGGAAATTCAGCTAAAACTTACCTGTTCCTCTTTCATTGTTATGCTTTTTTATTTCTTTGAGACTGCCCATTTTAAACCCCTATTAACAGCTCCTGGTTCCTAGGCACCACATATTTTCCATCCTCTCCATGTGTATTCCATCAACACAAAGTTCAGAAAGGATGAGGCAACTCCAAATAATCCCAAGGTTGGCTTAAATACATATATATAAACAGTTTATCGAGTAATTATTCTTCTGAACATTTTGAATACCATTTGGACCTTTTGCAGATCCAAATTTGAGTTGATCTCCAAAAGATGGGAACTTTGAAATGTGGGTAAATTTGCATAACTCTCAAATCAGTACACTGTCCCTCTAGCTGTTTACATGAGCTGTCACTGTGAACAGTGGCAAAAGGCACTCTCCCAGATCTGGAGGTCTCATATGGTTACTGTACACATACCTTTGCTGAAGCTGACAGATCACAGATAACCTGCAGTCTCTGCAAGTATTTTCATAATCATCTTCAAGACTTTATGGGTCTTTCCAAAAACGTTTCTATGCTAAGCTGTACATTTCATCATGTTGTAGCATCAGTATTATGTTTAACAGCCACTGTACTTCAACTAAACAGTCTAAATGCTGGACAAAATGGCTTCCTAACTATTTCCAGGATCACAAAACACTGGCCCTTTTGGTAGGATAACAGCAGGGCTGCAACCCCATGGCATTCGTCTCATCGTGATCAAGGGCCTTGTGGAGTCAATGCAAGAGCTGTGGACGAACTCATCAGAGTGGGCGGAATTCAATTGCACATCCACAGAATTTTAAGTAGATGCTCTTCAAGTTTAGCAAGTTCTAAAGGCACTTCACTTTATCTTACATTTCTTGGAATTTATCTGGCTTTCAGCCCATACTCCAAGGACTGTGTACGTATTTCAAATTTCATGTTTATGTGAAATGGATAAACAGCCCTTGAAACGAGGCCTGAAATTCATGTCTCTGTACCTTTTTGCCTGTGTTTGTGCAAGCTCTGTCCCCTGCAAATGGCAAAGCCTTCCAGGTCCCACTGCAAGGAAAACAAAACTCAAACAGGAGCCATGATCTAGAAGTCTGCTCGTACTATGAGTAAAATCTTTCTTAGTAGTAACATTGTGCATCTCTACGAAGCAGTAGTTCCTAGCCTTTCTTCTAGCACCTCTTCTGTGTCTCCTAGCCCTTGCACCCCGAAGTAACAATGTGTGTACTGAAAACAAGTGTCAGACAAGCACTCATGTTATGGGTACTCCTTTTCAGTGATAAAAAAACAGGGCAAAAAGCCCTCAAACAATTCTTCATTTCTTGAAGCAAATTCTTGGCAGTTTTCTGGCTGCTCTGGACCCCATTCAGAGGAGCTTACCTCCACTTCATCATTTCGTACCTCACTTTTTTTGACACCATCACAAGCAGCAGGTACCTAAGACCTAAATACTAGGAACATGCTTTTGGCTTTTACACCAAAGATGTAAGATCATAGCTGACTTAGATTTCTCAAAAAAAAAAAAATCAAAACCAAAACCTCACAAGATGAACTCTAGTCCCATCTTTTAGCCTTTTGAACACTTTCCTCCACCCAACCATTAAATGAAAAAGGAATGACTACAAGGGGGTTAGGAATCTGAATTTTTCTATACTGCTGTTACTATAATGGTGTACTTCCCTAACAGGGAAAATTGTCTTGGTATTTGCTCCTGCATACTAGTAATGTGTTATTATTGACATAGAAAAACATTCTTTACCAATATCAGACACCTTTATACAAATCCAGGGCACTTTTTTTTTTTTTTAACTTAAGTAGTTAAACCAACCAAGTAAATCAGCATACTTGAGAAAATGTGTGTTAGCATTTAGCTGAATTTTCCAAAACAAAGGTGGGAAGAGACAGATGAGTGATGTTAACCCTGCAAGGAGGCTGGATGCAGTTATCCTTGTTTGCTGCCAGGGCTCATAAGCTCTAGTTCACCACTGATCTTAGGGGCATCATTACCCAGGCAGCTCGGAACATGGTCAGAGACAGAAGACGGTTCTCTGCCCCTGTCTATGAATCCTGGGAGAGCCTTTATGAAGTCCATATCATGCAGTGAATTTGCTAAGCAATCAGCAAAATAGACTTCGCTGCCCTCTACCCTGCAAACTCCTGCTTCTTCCTCCTCCAAAAATCAGTCCAGCTGATAGTAGTATACATATCCAGTTCACATTTAGTTTTCAAATAAAACTTGGTGAACATACAAATCACTCAACTTCTTGCTGCTAAGTGCTATTTAAGGCAAACAACAGACAACAAAGAGAGCATAAATATTTGTAGTTAAAATTAGGTCTGTCTGGACAGAAATATTTGAAAGTCAGGATTTCATTAATAATGATGCAATTTTAAAACTTGCATAACTGATTTAACACAGACCAATGCCAGTCCTCAGTGTTTGTGAAGTTTTAGTTTTTGCCTTCTAGGTTTCATATAGCCAACACTATCATCCCCTAGGCAACAGCATGAAGCTGCATCAAGGGACATTCAGGCTAGATGTTAGGAAAAGGTTCTTCACTCAGAGGGCTGTCAGGCATTGGAACAGGCTCCCCACGGTCATGGCACAGAGCCTGCTTTTGGACAGTGCTCTCAGACACATGGTCTGTGTTGAGCCAGGAGTTGGCTCCGATGATCCCTGTGGGTCCCTTCCAATTTGGGATAAGGCTATGACTCTAGTCTCCTAGAAACACAGACATGGTTAAATGTTGATGGAAAACAAACAAACAAACAAACAAAAAACACAAAGTGAAGACATTTCATCTACATAAAATTTTATTATCCTTCAAACTCTACAGATACGCAATTTCTCCAGCCTCAGCAAAGCTCCCCTAGGCAGACAGGCTTTCAGTCGACTGTCTCTGACTGAGAACATCTAGGCTACGTCAGATTTTAGACCTAGCCTTTCATTAATAGTCAGACACAAAAGGCCAACTGAAACCCTGACCACCCGAAAGGTTGCAAAGCAACAACAAGGAAGGTTTTCATCAATTATATTCGAATAGAGAATCTTTCTTCTGTGATGATCACTAAATAGTTAACAAGCCATTGAACTGCACGTTCAAGAAAAAGATGCATTTTACATTTCAAGCTGTGATCAGAAAAACATGCAACTATTTTTTCACTTCTGAAGCTTGTGGTTTTATCTTCTCAGCAGCTTCAAGGACAGATGGAAGGCTGACTTTGTCACCAAATTCTTTCTCACGATGTTCCAGTAGAACACCCTAGTCAAAGACAAAAAAGAGAAATTCATACACTAATCCTGGTCTCCCCACAGGAGATCAACTGACCAGCAATTGAATAATGCCAGAAAATAAACCTCTAGGCTCCCAGGAGGCATGAAAGCCTCCTAGATGGTTTGCAGTACCTGTCTTCCTGCCCCAATCACATACACGCCTCCCAGGGTGAATCCTTCGCCTTCCAGGTTACCGCTATAGCCATTTTTCCAAGCACGGAAGAAATTTTGCCAGACTCCAAAGCGGAAGAAGCCCGACATCATCATTTTTCTCCTTCGTGGACCATAGAAGCTTCTCTGCAATGAGAAAAAAGCAATCTCAAAGTGAAAAGGACTTTTCCTCCCAAATGAAAATTAGGAAAACAGACAACCTCGCTTCCAAGAAAGGCTATGATACAAAAAAGATGAAAAGGCAGAGCTCAAAAGCAATTTCATCTGAACTAATCTCTTTAACAAACTACATGACCACTTGTATCCAGACAGCTAACCATTGTTACTGCCATCATGCATGAATCGTTTTTTTCAAATGATCCACAGCTATTTAAGCACCATAAACATTTACAGCGACATTGCTGAGAACAAGTGTGCTTTACGATAAACATCATTTTTCTTATTTCTGAAGCGTGGCAATATAAATGTTGGTCAAGAGGTAACAGTGGTGCCAAGTCCTGAAACTATCAGCCATCTGCTTATTTTGCCCATTTTTAAATTGTTTCCTTCAAACAGGCACAATGGGGAAGGAAAGCAAATGTATCTTTTAGTTGATTTTGAATATTAGGTATTCTTTTTCCTTTAAAAGCCAAGGGATTTGTAAATGGGTCTTTTGAGTTAAGTAAAAACGTGATTTTGTAGGACATCAAACTGGCAATCCAGCACCTATTTACTGGGAAAAGCCACGTGCCACAATGTTGAATTACTTCCATCTTTCACCTTCAGACCTTGAGTCATACATTATAAACATCAGCAAGTTACACAGCCAGTGGAAGAAAGGAATAGATATTAATAAGCTATATTGTTTATCTGTTAAAGGGGAGAAATAATCCTTCAAAAACGTATTATCAGTGCAGAGCTACAGAGCAGTTTGTAAGCTAAGCAGGTTATATATAGAAAAGCAGAGCTAATTAACTTCTTAAACCACAATGCTACTAAACCCTTTTTCATTAGAACACGTTCTATCTGTATCATACCAGCTCTTCAAAGAGGACATCCATAAGGTTGTTTTTAAGCAACGTCCCGTCCCACGCCAAAAAATAAACACACTGACTTCATTATACCTTTTCATCCAGAAAGATTTCTCCTTTGAAGTAATGCTGAAAATCTTCCACTTCAGTCCCTATCTTCTCTTTCACAACTGCATAGAGAGGGACACCCAGCTTGGACAGCTGAGGTTTCAGAGAGGAAAGCTCAGAAGCCTCCTAAGACAACAAAAAAGAACAAAGATTTCAGCAAGTTAGTTAGAAGTTGGAAGCTAGAAAGCTTCACCTTGAATTTCAGAGCATCAGAAACATGTACATTCCAGCTTGAAGTGCAAAACAAAAACAGACCTATGAATCAGACATTTAGGCTAGCTCTACTGCTAGGCAGGTCTTCATTACGTTTAATGGAATTTTCTTCCCTAGGCAGGGAAAGAGACTTTTGGATCGTTCACTGGATAAAATATTAAATATTATCTCACACCAAAGCAGAGAAACACATCATGAGCCTTTCTGCAAAGTACTTGAGGGCTCCATGCAGAAGTATAATATGCAAGTCTAGAGTAAGTAGTGGGGTATAAACGCACTCTCCGTCCTAGATTCCCAGTAAAAACAATCAGGTAATTTCTTCATGTACCTTCAGTATCTCAGAAGCAACACTTTTTGTAGTGTGTAAGCACATACGGTGTCAGCAGTCATCTGCTGGCTTTTTTGTTCTGAAGGAAACCCAGCTCTCAGTTTGAACAGCAGCCTCCAAGGTTTCTCCAATGGAGAAAGGTCGTTTTTTTACTGCACAAAACTCCCAGAAAGAATTCTGCGCAGCAGCAAAAAAGACTATTTACATCAACACCCTCAGCCAACTAAGTGAAATGCCTTAACTCAAAGGTTTTTGGGATATCTAGACCTTACAAGTACCAAGTAACACCCAGATAGGGGTGAAGAGAGAAGACAAAAGACATTAGAGAAAGACACCAGTGGGTGAAAGGGTAGGCAGAACATTCCAGAACACTACTCTTGATTTTTTTCAGAGGAAATGAAGAAGGATGAATCAGCATCACAAGCAAACAGTGAACAGTGAAGTGTGAGACTTAAAGGATCATAGCTTAGGCTTGCTAGACCTTTCCCCTATTTTCCGATCGTAAAGACTTGCTAATTATTTTCTGTTTTCCTCTAACAAAATACCTTGTGATCCTCCTAGAAGGGAGGTTAATGGAAATTTTATCTGGATTTTTTTTTTGCAGTTCAAAATTCTCATAAAAATCTGTATTGTGACATAAGTGTTCCAGGCTAGGGAAGTAGGGCTCCCTGTAGGATCAGAAATCACCATCTCTGGAGAGAGAAAGATGCCATGAAACCCTGATTATCCTTTTGCCTTTAGAAGAAAGGCATTTCAGCAATTTAGTGTGGGGAGCAGCGGGGGCTGTGTCTCCTTCATTTACAGGGAAGGGAGAGAGCAAAAACAAAGTAAAAACATTGTTAAGTTTTAAAATGATACAGCAACAGAAAACAAAACAGCCTCTTTTTGTGGGCAAATTACTGCACATAACAGCTATACAGTTACTGTCTTTATCGTGGACCTGTGACCATTTCATCCAGTCCATGAAACTGTTTTTCTTACATTTGTAAAAAAACAGACAAGCACACCCCAGCAGAATACTTTCTCCCTCCATCAATGCAAGGACAAGTTATAAGACCAATTCCTATTTTGTTTTGTCTCTCTCCTAGTTCAGCTATGGCTCTTCTGCTACTTTAGACTGCTTGAGTTGCATTTCACCTACAGCACTTAGCAAGCCCATGGAACTTTCGCAATGGCTGGAGCACTGGATCACTACATGGCTGGATCCAGACTCAGAGTTGTAGAAGCATCGTACTGTTGAACACACGCTATTGTAATAATAATAAAAAAAGGAATCTGGTGATTTAGGATAGAGATGATAAAGATAAATGACTTTAAAAAAAAAAAAAAAAGACAAATTTAAGTCTACAGCCCTCAGAGGTTCTCGAAGGTCCAAAGAAATCATTTCAGTAGGATTTGTGATGTTACTTTGCAGTGGATTAATGGAAACATGTCCTCACCACTGGTACCAGCTCAGTGACCGATAAAGTAGTACGGTCACATTTCAAACCCATCTCTGTGTCCAGGGACGTACAGGTACCTTCCTGGTGCAGTCAACAAGGACAAAGTTCGACATCCTTTCCAAAGCATAAGATAGTAGGAACCAACTGTAGTTTTGTCTCTTGCGGAAAAATAAAAACCCTACAGCCTCCAGATATGGCAAGTCACCTGTATTGAACTATTCTAGCAGCTCAAAGGCGGTGACAATGGGGAAAGAAGTAGTTTACATTCTACAGAGAAACCTTGGTAAACAAACAAGGACAGCTTTCTCAGGGGAAAGGCAAGAGTCAACTCACAAAATGATTTGAGTAAACAGCAATCCAAAATAACTTAGTTTAGAGATTTTAAAATATTTTTCAAACATTTTCACCTTTAAAATGCAAAGCAATTATTTGCCATAATTAGCTGAGCAGTACAGTAACTGCCTCTGTTAAGAGTTTGAAGTTTTGAACCAGAAGTAAGAATTAGAAAATTAAATTTCTCCCTTCCTATTTTTTTTCCTGAATGAAAAAAAAACAAACAATTCTTTAAAATGGCCTCTTTACAAAAACTTAGGAAGTCAGCTTTAAAAATAAAAACAACCAACCATTAATGAATTCCCATCTGACTCTATCCAAAAGTCACAGAGACAGGCACCCAGCACATTTTCTTCCTGCCTACGCTACACCTGTTCAGAGAACAGAGCACTTTAATCTAACCTGTCATAAGTCCTACGCATACTTAAGTGGTTATTACTGATGGGAGCAGATCCCTTAATTAAGTGGTTACAATATAAATTACCCCATTTTATGGAGTAGTGACTAACAACATAATAGCTATTTTCCCCCATAGCTATAAGAAAAATAGTGGCCAAAGCACAAGTTATGGCTGTTTCCAAGCACATTTTACATTCAAATTTCATTTCAAGTGTCGCCTCTCACCTCCACCCAAGAAGCCTAATGCCAGCCTAAGGAACAGATCTTGTTTCTCAATCCACCTTGTTAGGAACCAGTAGCAGTTTGCATACACAGTCTGTGAGGAAACATGCGGTTTCTGCAACACATTCTTCTTCAGACTCCTTACCTTTCTGTCTCCCCTTCAGCACCCAGAACAGTGAGGGACTCTCCTTTATATGCTCCAACCCCCTTTTTTTTTTTTTCTGATGAGCTTTACCTGATTACTTTCTGCCAGCCCTATCTTCATCTGTTTTTAACCAGAGATTACCCAGCTCACAGGATTTATTTTGGGCATATGGAATATGACCATGTCATAAGACTCATTACTAACTGTATTTTGGGTAGTCTCCACTTCTAATTATCGTGGGCTAGATCCCTGGCAGATGTAAAAACATCAGGCACCAGTTGCCTTCAAAAGGAAAATACTCAGGATCTAGACTATACAAACTTGTTGCCAAGAAAACTGAAACTAAGTATGTTGTTAGCTGGTGACTGGTTTGTGCCAGGAAACAAGAAACTTTCAGAAACTCCAGATGTATCTGATGATTGTCCCATTCATCCACTCCCTTTATTTAAAGGAAATATACGCAAGTAGGGCATAACTGCTCTTAATTTATCCCCAAATCCAACACGTACCTCTCTGCACAAAAATCATCCAGGTCTTCGCACAGCCATTATCACTGCACCATTCTTCTTCCATAGTTCTCCTGCTTTGAAAGTTCTTTGTTCTGTTTATACAGGAGAAATAGCATCAACAATAATTATTAACCACTCTTATTAATAATGATTAATGTTTTGAAGGCTAACATAAAGCATTGCAGAGAATTCCACATTCAAATACAGTTATATTGCAGGAATCTTCTATGTGCCTAACAGAATATTACGTGCTTTATTGATTTTTTGGTGTGTGTCATGTTTCACCAACTGAATTACAATTTAAAATAGACCTTTCAGAAATATCAATTGTGGCTGGTTTTCCTTCCCCAGAATCATCTGCTACCAAGGAAATCCAACTACTTCCCATAACTAGGGAAGACTAAGAAAAACTGTTTACATACCTAATGTGACCTGTGTGAAATCTTCTATCCCCTACAGAAAACCTTCAGTTAGGGAACATTAATCCTTCTAAACATACTTCACTCTTCTTCGGTGCTTCCAGCCCAAGCCTTACAGAGGGGTTCGTAAGCCCATTTATCAAAGAATGAGGGCTCAAACATCCAGAGTCTTACCTGATCCCAAAGTTTTTAGCTCAATCTCCTCCAAAAACTCCAATGTAGCCTTTTCTGGCTTGGACAAAAATAAGTCTGTGTTAGCAAGGACAATCCCTGTCACAGCGGCACCAATTGCTCCAAGACCGACAGACCACAAGCCCATGGTGAAGATTCCAAAGTCAGGTAGAAAGGACATTTCTGGAATGGGAAACAAGAAAGCAGCTCTAACACTGAACATTGGTGATGCCAAGGAGGAAATGGATTAAAACAACTAAAAACTCACATGGATATTTTGGGGTTGACTGAAGATGATCTGTATGTTTATAAATGTCCTGACTTGGGTTTCAGGTTTCATTACAGGTCTGCTCCTGGCCCACATCAAAAACATCACAAGGTGATCTTACCTTTTTCTGGTATCAGACTGGCAAGAACATTAATGATTGAAGTGCTCAAAATACAATGGGGAGGAAGGAGACAGAAGTGTATGTGGGTAATAAAGAACCTTTAATAAGATGGCCTCTATGTTAGCCAGTACCTTCAATTATTACAGTAGGACAGTGATTTCTTTCAAGAAAAGAAAAAAAAAGTATTTGTAAACATATTTTTCCTATTTTAAACAGTGCATTTTACCAACATACCACAGAAGACTTTAAAAAAATCTCTATGCAGCTCAGCATAGCTGGCAGTCTTTCCTGTTCCCTACAGTTCCACACTACAACCAAAGCAGACACAGGGCCAAAATCAGAGCTCAGAAGATGTCCCTGCACACAGAAATATGTAGACTTGCAACCTTTTTATTAGGCACAGCGACCTGACATTACAGACATGTCCTGGACAGCACCTTTTATATGCAGACCAACTTCCCACTCTTTCTAAAGCAGATTGTGTAGAAATCTCATCAGGAACAGACAAGTTAAACTCACACCCATCAGTTAGAATGGATAAGTTTGCAATAGAAGCCATTACATATGCTGGCTTGTGATTTAAAAGTACAAACGCTGCTTGTTATTACCAGTGATTGGTTTAGTAGCTTTTTTTTAAAAAAAAAAAAAAAAAAAAAAAAAAAAAAAAAAAACGAGCAGCCATGCTTCTCACAAAAGCCTTCAAAACTCAGTCCTGACCCTTGCACAAGTTTCACAAGCCTGGAGACGGCTGACAGCCACCTTCCAGTGAGGCAGTATCAGTTCTGTGGTGCAGGAACGCAAGCTTAGCCCTGCCTAGAGGTCAAAATTCAAGATCCAACTGCGAGCAATAACTGGTACAAAAGTCACTGAATTTTGGCAGTATAAGAAGTCACTGCCTGTCCACATCACAGTAGTTATGTGTTATAAAGGGCTGCAGATTTATTTCCTAAGTCACCCAATACTTCAGTATTGCACCAGCATTTTCCACAGCCATCTGCAAAACCCCATTCCTTGACATACTGCTTTGCTGAGCATTACTGCCTGTATATATAGTTCTGTTCAGAAGAGATTTTCTTCCCCATAAATATAGGAAAAACATCACTGTTTTGGATGCGACTAGCAATACACCGGAGACACGCATCATCTTTATCCCCACAGCCACCTTTTGTGTCAGAGACACATTCCCCAGATTTTTCCAGGAAAAAATCTCCTTAAAAACTATTTCCATCCTTAAAATTAGTTCCAGGATAATACTGATGACCAAACGCAACCAACTACCAACCTGCAGAAACAGTTAGAAACACCGAATAAAGTGGTTTTTTTTTGTTTGTTTGTTTTGTTTTTCCTTTCAACACCATACTTGGTGCCAAGGAGGACCTTATCACAGTATCTAGAAACGTGAGCAATCCAAGATCCTGAGCAGGAAACAAGGGCAGTTTACACAAACACGCTGCAGATAAGAGAACTTATTCTACACAATTTCACTGCTTATTTCTAACACAGGGAACCCTTCCTTGTCCTTATCTCCTTTGCCTACATACTTTTTTTCAGGCATAAAATCATACTGTAACAACAGTGTGTAGATATCTGCCTGGAACTCGTATCAGAGACCGTTCTGACCCCAGCCTTTGGAAAACATAACTTGAAATGCACTGCTGTAACGCGCCAGTGTCCTTGCGTTAAAACTTATTCTCCTTGGCATACCCAAAAGTCTAGAGCCCTGTTCTCTCCCAGCATTGATTGTCCAACTATTCCTTCCACACTTCTCTGAGCAAGACCTGTTTTTCCTCCTCATTTTCAGATACAAGAAGAGAGGGCTATAAATACCAAGCATTATTGCCATGCACGTTTCATTTGTGTACTGAAATGCTGTCAAGTTGTTGGCAACTGCTAAACGAGCAACTTTTCACACAGCTTTCCATTTCCAATAGCGTTATGTCACTGTTAGCGTTATTAGCATTGCTGAAAGCCAGCTCCACTATTAGTTTACATCCACTCCGTTGTAGCCTCATTAATTAATTGTTAATCTTAGCTCACCTCTTCAGTCTAATTGGGCGCAGCTCACGGACAGAAGAAAACGCAATTTACTAAATGCGCGAATCTTTTGCTATTTCTCTAAACAGGGACACGGGAGAAGCTCTGCAGGGATACTGAAATCCTCCCCCCGCCAAGCAAGCACCGCAGCGAGCCCCTCCGAGCAATCCAGGCGGGAACGCGCAGCCGGGGTTATTCCAAACCCGCTGCCCAGGCGGCCGGAGCCCCGACGCATCCCCTGCACCGCTCTGCAAGCGAGGAGCCCCCAGCAACACCAGCAGAGCGGGGCCAGCCAGCAGCCTCCCCCCTTTGGCGTGCAGCCTCCCACGCAGCAGGTAACCCCAAATCCCCGCCATCCCTCCGGGCCGACCGCCACCCGGCGGGAGGGCAGGACGGGGCCCCCCGGGACCCCTCCAAGCCCCTCGCGTGCGCACTCACCCGGAGAGCCCCCGCGGCGGCCGGGGGGGAGCTGGGGGCGCTCCGCCACCGCAGCCGCCACCCGCAGCACTGAGCGCCGCAACTGGCCGGCGGCGGGTAGGAGCGAGCAGAGCTGCCCAATCCACTGCCAGATCGCTTACAGAGAGCTCAACCCGCCCCCCCCCCTCTTTTTTTTTTTTTTTTTTTCCCTTTAAGCTCAACCCGTGCATACCATCTCTATAAGGAGGGTGGATTGGGGAGTGCAAGCTTCCTAGAGGCTGAGAACGTAGTGCTAAACTCTAAATTCTGCTGAAGTAGGGGTTTTGTTTGTTTGTTTGTTTTTCCCTGTAGAACCATGCATCTTTACAGTAAATATTTTGCTTATGTTTCAGTCCATTCTGCTTTAACTATCCCCAACCGCCCAGCATACCCAAACAACACAAACAGCTCTGGAAACAATTAAACCATCACACTGTTGGAAACTAGTTTCAATAGAGAGGATATACTGATGAATTAACTCGGTGTTAACGTGATTTACCAGCATGTTACCAGCGTTTACGGTAACATCCCTTCACTGAAGAGCATAGTTTTCTCTGCAACTATCAGACCTGCACGCTCTCAACTCTGCTAACTTCTCCAGGTCTCAAAACCTCCAGAAGTGGATGCACACTTCTCTATACAGAGATGAGAGACTAAAGAGGAAAAAAAAAAAAAAAAAAAAAAGAAGGAAAAACATATTTTTGTGTGTTTTTGTGGTGGCCACAAGCGATCTCCAAGATAACAGCGACTTGTTTTCTGGTCTGCCAGTACTCAGCTAACCAAAATTTAAACAAGCTAAGCCTTAATCCTGCTCTAAGTGCCAGTTGATGGTCTTCACTTGTGTCAAGACAACCAATTAAAACATGGCTCTCTAGATGCCTCATTTCCCTCCCACCCACAAATGGAGAAAAAAAAAATGTCATTAAGAAGATAGCTATCCTTAAACATTTATTTTAGCAATGTAAACAGGACCCATTGCAGCTGTGACAAAAAATACTGGAAAGTCCGTGTATTCGTTTTGTCAGTAAAAGTCATGGTAGCACGGACTTTCTTGCATACTTTTCTTAAGAATACAGCTGAGCAAAAGTGGAAACATTCATCCAGCACTGTCACAAGCCGGACTGCACCAGTACATAGCCCCTAGCCTAATAAGTCTTTCACCAGTTGTTTTTGGCCACTGCCTTTTCATCCCTTCTCTTCCCTCCCATCTTGAACCTAAAAATCTTTCAGAGTTTTGTCACAACTTGCATATCTCAAACACAAACTGAGCTGATGATTTTTTATGAAACATTCTCCCCAGAAATGAGTCATCAGATTGCAAATATCTTTGTAATTAACTCCTTTTAAAGAAAATTTACAATTCACAATAAACCAGTGACATGCTCATCGGAATTTGATGAGCTTTTAAATACCCTTAAAGATTGCAAAATAGAGCAACCTATCTCACTTCAAAACCAGCTTTGCTTTACCCAGGGATTGGACTAGAGAACCTCCAGCGGCCCCTGCCAACATAATTCAATCACCCTTTAAACACCAGAATCAATGAACAAAGCAACCTCCTAACATTTTTAAAGGCAAGATTTTTTTTTTTTTTTTTCCCCCCTCACAACTTCCCTCCCCCCCCTTCCTTTATTTTCTTTCTGTCATTGTAAAGATCCTGCAAGAAATCACTCCTTGTGTCAATAGCAGCAGTCATCTTTTCAGGCTTCTTCCCAGCCTGCCCATTTCGTTACCAATCTCAGCACTGGGTCCCAGCTGAAGAAAAAGTTGCTGTGTCAAGCAAGCAAACCACACTCCTTTGAGAGGAAGTTAGTTGGTAGACCATATAACCTGCCCCATTCTGAAAACATTTTAAAGAAATCCAACAGCTCGACTGCACTTTCCTTTTGAGCAAAGGAGAGCTGTGAGGCCCTTTGGAAATCTTCCATCTTGTGAGGGGCATTCAGAGGGAGCTCGATGTTGGCTCTGGGAGGACAAATCAAGCAGCGAACCAGAGACGCCATGCGGATGGGAGGCAGCACTGAAGCACAGCCCCACGGAAAGCACCATGTGAGAATACTCCGGGCTGAATTCGCTGCTGGGGGCCACAGCTGGAGAGCCGCATTCTGCGGGAGGCCGCAGAGGTGGGGAAGGCAGGGGAACAGCACCGCCCAGCAGAGCCACAGCACGCTGCATGCCTGGCAACGGGGCTCTCGGGTTTGAACCCTGCAGTAAATACTGAATATAAACTTACATTTTCCCCCCTTTTGCGCTTTTGTAGGCCTTAATTGTATCTTAACCTTCACACTCCTCACGTTACAAGGAAATCGTTGCCGAAAGCACGACCACAGGCTCACCGACAGCAGCTCCCGCTGCAGCCCATGGGCGGCGGCGCCGTGCCACCACCTCGCGGTGCCGCGGAGCGGGGCACCCAGCCCCGCGGCCAGCCCGCAGGGACGCCCCGGGCACTGCCGAGCCTGCGCAGGGCGAGCCTGCCGGGCACCGGAGCTGTGCCCGCCCCGCCGTGCCTACTTACGGGCAGCCCCGGGTACGGGGCGGGCGGAGCAGCGCCGCGGGCCCCCCTCGGTCGCCGACCCCCCGGCGGCAGCAGCGGGGCGGAGGGCGCGAGGCAGCCGCCGCCCCCAGAGCGCCCCCGAGGGCCCCGTGCCCGCCCCCAGCGCCCCTTCTCCTCGCTCGGACCGTGGCCAAGCCGAGGGGCTCCGACCCTGCCACACGAGCAGAGGTGCCGTGCCTCAACGCTCGGGAGGCGGGCAGGCCGCGGGGGCAGCCCGCAGGCCAAGAAGGCGGTGACCTTACCATGGGAGCAGCGCGGGTAATGGGGCACTTGGAGGGCCTCGATGGATGGATATAAATACACTGCGCTCAAGAACAGACTTGCTCAGATAAGGCAGCCAGTAACAACATGTCACAACACCACTTAGCGAGCACACTCGTTGGTCGCTCGCGGTCATTTGGCACCAGTCCAGTCAGCAGCCCTGAGGACTTGCCTTTGCTGTCCTGGGACTATTTCCTGAGGGTTCCCGTTGACCTGGCAAAACAAGAAAGTACTGACGATGGCAGCGCTTCAGGAGAATGGACTTAATCCCTCCATGGATGGTACCAGCGGGTCTACATGCCAAATAATCAAAAGTCACCGTTTCTCAGCATGGTCTGAAGTCGTCCTGACCCAGAAGCTTCTCTTACCTGGAGGGTTGCCAGTCAGACCCATGCAACTTACCCCTTGTTGAGGGTTTCTGGAAATGCTAACTGTATTTATCATCAGTGCGATGCTTGGCTTTAGGAGGAACCACACACAAACCAAGGTCCCTGCTAACTGGAGGCAACAGCACTGCCACAGTCCTGACCTAGCACAGACCAAGCTGTGCTCACTGGGATGCACCAGGAGCCGCCACCCAACACCCATCTGAGCACCCTGGGGTGCTGCCACAGAGGCGTTTTGTGTCTCAGCACTGCTCCAGCAGCACAGCACCACTGGACAGCAGCACTCAGCCCTCCTGCCCCATCACATCACCCTGTGTAATGGAGTCACTCAGACACATCAGCAATTTAAAAAAGAACCTAAGGAAAATTTGAGGTGGGAACATTACCAGACCATCTGAGAGCAAGCACTAGGGAGTCTGGTAGGACTGCAGGGTTTGGGGCTGCTTAATTTCTTTGGAAATGCAAAGAACTTGTATTTGCAAAATAACAGCAAATAATCTCAATGATAACAAATTTCAGTGAATGCACTCTCTACTTTGTCTCCTTAACTAGGACAGGAAGGTTCTCTGTAAACACCAAACATAATATGCTGAAATGGCTTTCTTGCTCTTTGTGAAAAACAATCAGCACTAAAATACATACATCTTTGTCACTGTGACACAGCACTTTTTGGGAAAACAGCATTATGACAAAAGTGTGATGGACAAATTTGGTCAACCATCATCATATAATTAAAACCCTAGCTTCTGCAGGCTGTCAACATTCCTTTCTTCTGAATTTTATAATGGTCGTAGCTCCAGCTGTCAACACTTGGTAATGGTACAATTGCAGCTTCCACTATTTTTGTTGCCATGGTGAGCATGCAATACAAACATTTTTTTCCTTAATGATCCTTCTGCACATTACACCTCTAACAGCCTGGCAGCTGGCCTCTATTTAGAGAATAGAGGGAATTTAGGGAAGAGCTGGCCTCAAGGAAAAAGAGCTATCAAAAGATGAAACCATCTTATTCTTTTCTCCAGGTAGAAGCCCCTGACAAGCAGTTGCAATAGGCAGTTAATCAGAAGCGACTCTGACTTCATTTATCCTTATTATAACAAGAAAACACAATGCAGAAAAATCTAAGCCCGCAGACCTGGAATTCATCCAGAAAAAAGTCTTCCTGCTTTAATTTATAAAGCAGTGAACCCCTTGAATGCATATACACTTCTAGTAGATGCAGAACTCAAATATAAATGGCATCATGAAAATACATGTACTTAATACTTAACTTCAAATAATCTAGCATTCTCTAAGTTTCCAGACACACTCACATTCCAGGAAAAGTTACTGTTTTGTGTGAGTGGAGTTAAGCGGTAATTCTTTGTCCTCATTAGACTACCACTGCCTTCATTATTTTAGAAGGGTAGTGGAGTTTTGGCAGGAAGCCTGAATGGGAAGGTAACTTTTTTCTGTCTTCCTCTCTCAATAGTTTAGTTTGTCCATACAACTATTTAGATGTTATTTGCACATTTTTCTTGTGAATAAAAGAGAAGTCCCTGACACACGCTGAAAGATTATTTCAGAGCAGTAGGCACCAACATTTTCTAGTTCTTGGGTACTGAATAATGCCCTTAAAAAGCTCATACTCTTCCTGCTTTCATAATTCACTTGCATAGCAATTATACAGCAGAAAGAGTATCATTCTGCAAACGGTGTATGTAATTAAGTTTCACTAGCATGCCAGTACATAAGTCATCTGGCATGCACTATACCAGTATGCCAAAACATGATCCTAGCATTACGAAACTTTCATTCCATGTACAGAATGACAAAGCTGCGTGCTACATCAGAAGTTAATTATTTCTGTTTCTTGTTGGTTCATGCTTCTATAAATCAGCTTTAGATCAAGGGTGTTGTTAGACAAAATGGGTTATATAAAAAAACTTTTCTATCAGG